TCTGTTTCCTGTCTGTTTCTGGTCCCGAAACGGGACTGTGCGGACCGGCGGTTCATTCTGGACTTATCCTGTCTGAACCCTTGGGTTCATTGCTCCTCCTTTTGGATGACTACGCTGTCCCAAGTTCGGCTTCTCTTGGAACCGGACGCTTGGATGGTATCCATAGACCTCCAGACGCATATTGGCATGTCTCGATTCATCCGAGGTTCCAGGACTGGCTCGGTTTTTTGTGGGGCGTCTAAGTTACCGCTTTCGTTGTCTCCCGTTCGGGTTGAACCTGGCACCTCATGTATTCACACGCCTTACGTGGGTTGTGGTGGCCCGTTTGCGTCTCTTAGGTGGACGGGTGTTGGCCTACCTCGACGACTGGCTGATTTGGGCTCCCAGCTGGTCGGCTTGCTTGCTAGCCAGGGATTTGGTTTTTTCCCAGCTCGCCGGGTTCGGGTTCTTGGTGAACTGGAGGAGGTCCTTCTGGTCCTCTCTCAAGTTCGAACTTGGCTGGGTCTCGTTTGGGACTCTCCGACCGCTTCCTTGTCTCTCCCTCTGGAGTCTCTCCTGCGGCTGCGGTCCCGCCTTCGTTTGTTTCTGGTGGGCCCTCAGGTCACCCGGCGGTTGCTCTAGGGGCTGTGTGGGAGCCTAAACTTCGCGATGTTAGTCTACCTGCTGGGGTGGGTTTGGCTTCGTCGGTTGTTCTGGTTCCATCGGGGTTGTCCCTTCCGCCTCTCTCCCAATCACTGGGTTCGGACCCCTGGGGCTTTGCGTCAGCTACTGCGTCGCCGGCTTCCTCTTCGGGTTTTTTGGGGTTCAGTGCCTTGGCTCCTACCCTACCCCAGGGGCGTTGGGGTCCGTCTTTCCATCGAGCCCACAGCATAGTGCGGGAGTTCGCAGTGGTGTGGTCTGCTCTTCGGAGGATTTGGATCACCCGCGGATCGACGATTCGGCTCCATTCGGACTGCTCTCCGGTGGTTCATTGCCTGAACCGCGGGGGTTCGATGCGGTCCTTGGCTCTTTGGGGTTGGTCACTTCGGGTAACTCGTCTGCTGAGTTCTCGGGGTTTGGCTCTCCTGGCGATTCACGTGCAGAGTGTGTCCAACATCTTGGCCAACGGCCTGTCTCGCATCGTTCCCCTCTCCACGGAGTGGACGGTCGACAACGCTTCCTTCTGTTGGCTTTGCCAGACGTTCGGGCGCCCTGAGGTGGACCTCTTCGCGTCGGCGTGGTCGAGGCGCCTTCCTGTGTATGCGGCGTCCTTCCCTGATCGCGAGGCCATCGGATCGATGCCTTTCTGCTGGACAGGTCGAGGTGGGGGGATTCTTGTACCTCTTTCCCCCGGTTTGGCTGTTGCTCCAGGTCCTGACCTGCTTGGAGACTTACCAAGGAAGAGTTTTCCTTCTGGCCCCTTGGTGGCTGGCCCAGCCTTGGTTTCAGGCGCTGCTTGCTCAGTGTCCAAACCCGAGGGTTTTCCCGTGGCTCCACCTCTTTCAACAGATTGGCCCGTGGCTGGTTCGATCTTTGCCTCGAGTCTTCACGTAAGATTTTTTTTTTTACTCGAGTCTATCATCATCATCTCTATGGTGATCAGGTGGCCGCTTTGTTGGTGTCCCATCTGTGGGCTGTTTCTCGGCGGCAGTATGAAGTTTCCTGGCGTTCCTTCTGTTTCTTTTTGCGTCTTCGTCGTTTTAGTTTGCTATTGGTTAGGGTGGTCTTGTCCTTTCTATCTTGGTTGTTTCAGGACCGTCATCTTATGCCTAACGCTGTTGCCTTGTATAGTGCGGCGCTGGCAGAACTGCCTCAGCTTGCCTTCGGTATCAATGTTACATCTGCGCCATTTTGCAAGCTGTCTCGTGCTTTGTTTCACCTCCGGCCTGCTCATGCGCCGCCTGAACTGTCCTGGTCTTTGGACAGAGTGCTCACTTACCTTTCGTCTCCTTGTTTCGTCGTGGCCCCTTCGGTCCAGGATTGTTTGGCCAAGGCTCTTTTCTTGTTGGCATTGGCCTTTGGGGGGGTCAGGTCAGGGAGCTTCATGCTCTCCTCCGGCGCAGGGGTTCCTGCTCTTTCGGTCGTGACGATTGTTTTGTTCGCTTGCAGCCGTCTCCTTTTTTGGCGAAGAATGAGACTGCTGCATTCCGGAGGGGTCCGTGGGTGGCTGATGCTTGGTTGGTACGGCCGGGGGTGCATCATGCTTTGTGTCCGATTGTGGCGCTTCACCATTATTTGCGCGCCACGGCTTCTGTGTCCGGGGACGCACTTTGGGTTGATCCAGTATCCCTTCTTCCCTGTTCGCGGGTTTGGGTCTCCCAGGTTGTCCGCAGGGTTATCAAATCCAGCCAGCCTGCGGTCTACCCCGTGCCCATGACGTCCGTAAGTTCGCGACTCTTGCTGCCATCTTTGGGAACATGTCTTGGTTGATATTCGGGCGCGGGGATTTTGACGGTTGAACAGGGTCCTGGCTGCTCATTACCTCATGAATGTCCCTGGGCCCCATCGGGCCTGTGTTGCTTTGGGTCGGCGGTTGCAGCCAGTTGTCTCAGTTTTGAGTTGAGGAGTGAGCGACGACCGCCTCCCGGGTAAGTCCCTCTTTTTCTGTCTGTGGGGGTAGTTAGCTCCGGGGAGCCGACGGGCTCCCCCCAGAAAAACCAGGGTTGAATGTAATGAAACGCCATTTTCTTGGCGAGTCCCGGAGGCTCCCCGGCATCCCTCCCTCCCCTCCGGTCGGCGGTTTTTCATGTTTTTGACATCCAGCCTCGGAACTGAGGTGTGGGTAGCTGGCGTGAAGATTCTGGGGCTTCCCCTTCCCCCTCCCGGGGAAGGGGGAGCTGCGCAGACAGCGGCACGGCGACGTGTGACGTCATACTAGTTTGCTTATTTTCTGTTGGGAGTTCTATCCACTAGTTCGGCTTTTGGTAGCAATTTTAACCAGAATAGCGGGTTTGTTTTTGGGTGCTTACCTTTCTGGGTGCCTGATCCGGTCGATGGCAGACATAGAATGCTTCCAACCACACGGGGGTTTCTATAGGCCATTGCTCCACTTGCCTCTCTGAGGGGGCCCGGTTCTGGCCGTGGTCCCCGGTAGGCTTAAGAACTCCATACACATGACTGATGCCACAGTCTGGCATTAGCATATCAGCCTGAGATAGCTCCGGGGAGCCTCTGGTACTCGCCCAGAAAATGGCGTTTCATTACATTCAATGCTGTTTTTTTGCCTCCGTCATACTGCCTGTTGGGCCACTGACATCTTTGACTCAGAGTCTTGCGAGTTGTGTTCTTTGCATGTTCTCCAGTTTACCCATTCTGATACCATTGATATTCAGGTACAGACGGCATCCATGTTGCATGCAAGGTTTAGGTTGCTGCAATGTGCTAGGTTGGTTGCCCACCCAAATGCCCCGAGGCTGCCCCATTTTGGTTAGGCGTTGTTCGCCCTTCTAACTCCCTTCCCCCTCGATCTCAACTCCGAAACGTCTGGGGGTTTCATGGTTGAGGCGGGGTTTAGTTGGTGTTGAGATTCTGGCAGATTTGGGGGGGGGGAGGGGAGCTGCTCCATTCGGGTTTGGGGCAGAGGCATTCAAGCCTGCTCTTCCTGCCGAGGCTTCTGGGAAGACAACTCCCAGCAGTCCCCTTCTTTGCTGCCTTTCCCCAGGACTCTGCCTTTTCTTCAGGGGTGGAGGGCGTGGAGTACGGCTCTGCCCCAGGCCTCTGTTGCAGGTTCCCGGGGCTGTGGGGAAGCTCGCTGGCAGTTGTTTTGGGCTGTTAGCCCCTGCTTCGGCTTTGTTCCTTCTAGGCAGGGGGATGGGGGGGGGGGTTGTTTTGTCCCTATTTCATTTCTTTTCATGCTTTGGCTGCCGTTTTCGGCAACATGTCTTGGGCTGTTATTCAGGCACGGGGATTTTGGAGGTCATACAGGTTCATGGCCGCCTGATATTTGGTTCACTTTCCTGGTCCTGGGCATTCGTGTGTTGCTTTGGGTTGCAGGTTGCAGCCAGTTGTCTTGCCTTCGAGTTGAGGAGCATGTGGCGACTGCCTCCCAGGTGAGTCTATCTTTTACTTATCCTTGGTTATGTAGTTCTAGGGAGCTCTAGGGGGCTCCCCACAGAAAACCAGCATTGAATGTAATGAAATGCTAATTTCTGGGTGAGGCCCGGAGGCTCCCTGGCACCCTCCCTCCCTCCGGTCCGCGATTGCGTTTTGCTCTTTATGCTTAGTCTCCGAACTGAGGTTGGGTAGCCAGTGTGGTGGGTCCGGGCTCCCCCCTTCCACGGGGGGAGATGTGGGAGCTATGCGGACGAGCAGCGCCATGGAATGGTGTGATGTTTGCTTGTTTCCTTGGGAATTGATGGAATTCTACCTCTTTGTTAGGTTTTCGTTTGCATTTTTCTTACCTTGTGGGATCTGTTTTGTTATGCCTACCTTTCTGGGTGCCTAACTCCAGTCAGTGGCAGTTAAAGTAAACACCCCAACCACAGGGGGGATTTTCCAGGCCCATTGCTGCCTGTGTCTCTCTGAGGGGGGCCAGGTTCTGGCTTGTGGTCCCCGGTAGGCAGAACTCCATTGACTAAAGCCCTTGTCTAATGTACTGCATATTAGCCCAATAGCTCCAGGGAGCCCCCCGGGGCTCACCCAGAAAATGGCGTTTCATTACATTCACTGCTGGGTTTTTGTAGCTTAAGAAGTAACTCCAGTATTGAACCTTTTAAGTATTAATCATTTATTGTCATGTCTCCAAAATGCAAACTAAGGTTGGTTTCCATGCTGACAATGGCCTTTACAATGTAAGTGACTCTGTCTCCATGGAAAGCTTTAATTTTCATTAAAAAATTAAAGTTTTCAAAGAAAATATTTTCTTATGATTTTTCTTTTATAGATTTTTTGTTTACAAAATACTGTATAGGTTAAATTATATGTTTGCTGTAAATGATATTAATTTACAGTAAACATTTTGTTTATATATAGATACCGTGTGTCATTAGAAAACTCAGTCCTAATGTTTTATATTTTTTCAGAATTGGGGGATGATGGGTGGCATGCCAGGGATGGTAGGTGGTGGTGGATACAGTGCCAGGCCTGGTGTTATGAGCACTCCCCAAGGATGTAATCACCACTACCCTCAGCAACATTGTCCTACCTCTCATACCTGCTGTGATATCCACAACCATTTCCCAGTGAACATGCCACCAAACATGAATGCCATGGGAGGACCCAACATGGCCCCAACAATGGGACCTGCAATGCGTCCGACTATGGCCCCAGGCTTTGGAGAGATGGTGCGTCCCAACATGTGTCGCTCTGGAGATCCTTCCATGTTTCGTAGTGGTAGGCCTCAAGGACAGAGCCCTCTTCAACAGCAGTCACAGCTGCATCTACAGCAACAACCACCTCAGCAAATGCAGCAACAACCACCTCAGCAAATGCAGCAACAACCACCTCTGCAAATGCATCAACAACCACCTCAGCAAATGCAGCAACATTCTCAGCAACAACACCAGCAGTCAGTGCAACATCATCCACAACAGCAAGAACAGCGTCAGCCACAGCAACATCAGTTGCAGCAACAGCAGTCACAACCACACCAACATCAACTTCAGTTACCTCTGCAGCAACACCAGCATCAATTACAACAGCAGCAGCATCCGCAGCAACATCTGCAAACTCAGCAAAAGGGGCAATTACAACAACAGCAACTGCAGCAGCAGCAGCAGCAGCAGCAACAGCAACAGCAAACAGCTCCACCACCCCCACCACCACCTCCACCACCACCACCTTCAACAAACATGATGGGGCCTGGACCACATATGATGGCAGGCATGAGAGGAGTTGGACCACATCCATCAACTTTTATGAACAACATGATGTGTCGAATGCCAGGCTCTGGAATGATGCCTCCACGTGTACTACCTCCTGGCACGATACCTACACCTCAGAGTTCAAATGAGCAACCTTCAGTTCCTGCAGCATTTTGGGAAGAGGGAGAAAAGCGACGCAAGACTGGAGGACGACCAAAAAAGCGCTTCAAAGGTGCTATAGAACGATCGCCACCATGTCCTAACGTAGATGTTCGAAATTTGCACAATGACCATTGTGGTCCTACTATGAGTGGCCAGGGTGGGCCAGGCCCTCCAGCTTCTGGCCCTTCTTTCATGGATGATCCAAGTGGATATTTAGCACAACAAACGGCTCTACTCAATAACACAATGGCCGGTGGAGGAATGGGCCAGTTCTCACCACAGGCGCCTGGTATTTCACCTAGACCACTTCCACCACCCCAATCAGTCCCACAATCTATAGCAACAGCAACTGGAGTTGTGGTTATGTCTCAGCAGCAGCATCAGCAACAGCATCAGCAACAGCAGCAGCAGCAGCAGCAGCAGCAGCAGCAGCAGCAGCAGCAGCAGCAGCATCATCAGCAGCATCAGCAACAGCAGCAGCAGCAGCAGCTTGCACCACAGTCTCAGACAGGGACAATAACTGCAGCAAATAACAACATAGCCCGTGCAGCTCAGATATCATCATCTCCAGCTGTAGTTCCATTGCCTAGTAATGTTCCACTACCAGCAAGAGTTAGTAAAGCTGCCACTCAGACTACGAATACTGTCATTACCACACCTTCTGTCCTCCCCAGCCAATCACCTCACACTAGTGCTGGCAAAACAACCAATTCAACTTTCTCAACTCCTCTAACTAATAATACTGCTGCTTCCATGCCTCATCACCAAAATTCCACAATGAATGAGATTCAAATTATATCATCATTTACTAAAGACAAAAATGGCAACCGGCTAGAGAGCTCTAATGATCCATTGAATCAGAATAATGATGGAGAGGTTCCTAATATTAATACATCATCAATAGCCAAAGTAGAATCAAGTGGCTTGGTTCATACCACTACGGTTACCTATACGCTCTCGTCAACTCCCACTACTAATACAAAAGTAACGAGTTCTATGCCCAGCACTACTCTGGGTGGCTGTTTACTGCAGAGGGAGAAGGAGAGTGTGATGTGCTATAAAACCGAAGATGATCAACCACATAAAATTAAATGTGAATCTAGTACACCTTTAGATAACTTGAAATCCTCCCCAGTTAGTGCATCTAGTGTGAGAGAATCTATGAAAGTAGAAGCTTGTTACAAAGATGTTTGCAGTGGAAAGCAATGTGAAAGTGAGGAGAACAGCCCAGAGCAGTTTTCTTCTGGAGGTCCTTGCACCATTAATGATGGTATATCAGCAAATAAACCTCTTACTCCAGGGCCTCCTGGTGTCAGTACTGGAGGAGGAGTTACACAGTCTCCCTTGGAGATGGTACAAAGCATAGTTAGTAGTATTCCCGTTCCATCGTCTTTGGGACCTCTACGTCCAGGCTCCCAGCAACTGCCAACTCCGCAAGTGGCGCCTCCTATGCCTCCTCAGCCACAACAGCAACTGCAACAACAGCAAACTGCAACAGTACCATTATCTTTATCACCTGGCATGTATAATGGCCCCATTTCAACTAGTGTAACTGTATATGGTGGTGGTGGTTCAGGTGGGTTGGTGCGTGCGTCGGGACCTTTGTTAGTGAGTGGTCCATCTCCTGCTCACTCCAGCGTTTTTGTGACAAGTAGCGGCGGGTGTAATGGTCCAACAAATATGGTGGTAGTTTCATCCCCTTTCAATAATAAAGGAAATGGAGCAACAGGAGTAGCTGTGACTTCAGGTATGGCAGGTGTTGTGGGAGTTCAAGCTGCCATGCCTCAAGTACAGGTTCAGCAACAAATGACCCCTATGCAACAGCATTTGCAATCTCAATTACAACCACAATTACAGCAACAGTTGCAGCCTCAGTTACAGCAGCAACTTCAGCCTCAGTTACAACCTCACTTACAGCCACAGCTGCAACAGTTTCAACCTGTTCAACCTGTGGTGCAACTAGTCAACACCTTTGCTACAATGCAGACTCCAGTTATTATCCAAAATGGTGGAAATATTATCCAGTCATCCACAGGTCTTTTGCCTAGCCCAGGTGGTATGTTGACTGGTCCTAGTCCTCTTGCACAGGGTACCATTATGGCTGGTCAATCTCTTGTTCCTGCCACTGCTACAACACTGACAATGGAAGGCACACATCACCATCACCACCACCACCATCACCATCACCAACAGCAAAACCAAGTTGGACAACCACAATCCTCTCCACATGTACAAGTGGCACAGGTGGTCACCACTGGACTTAGTGGGGAATCAATAGAAGATGCTAGGACGAGAAACACGTCAACACCACTTGGAACTTCAGGTTCAACTTCATCAACACCACATTCAACTCCAGGTTCCACTCCTGGATCAGACACTGCTTCCAGTGGGGGTTCCTCAGGAGGGCGCCGCCGCAAGCGAAGGCGCAATACTTCGACGCCACAAGGATCGTCTACCTCACAATCTTCACCACTGCAGCAACATCATCAGCAACAACAAGGATTGGTACCAACTATTATCATGGGCAACAAAGTTCCTCAGCATATGGTAATGAATGGGCCACATATGACTCAAGTGTCACCATATGGTGCGATGGGCACTATGGCTGCTGCTGGACAGATGGCACAAGTAGCTACAGTCACAAGTCAGGTGGGAGGTGGGCAGATGCTGCAGGCAGCAGCTGCTCCAGGAACAGGTGCCATTAATGTTGTTCAAATGGTTGGGAACACATTACCTAACTTACCTGTACAAGTACACAATCCTCCTGCTATAGTTGTAGGGTCAGCACCTTCCCAGGGTGTTGTCATTAATCAACTTGCAGATGGTACTTTTATATCTACGGATCCTAATACTGGCATGTCGTATCCTGTCCAGTTACAGTTATCTGGTGGCCATATAGTTGGTGTGACACCTGCTGTAAGTGCTGCTGGTGGGATGGTGGGGTCACTAACTTCAGCACCAACAGCAGGAGGCATGCCAGCCATGGTTGCTGTGCGTCCGCCTCTACCTCAAACTGCTGTCGTTGGTGGAGCCAAAGTGGTGAATATTTCTCCTTCAGCAGCAACAACACAGCTAACAGGTGGCGCAGGTGTTCATGTTCTACCTGTTACAGCAAGTTACCAAGCTCCTGGCACTACCGTCAGTCCTGGCCAGGCAGTGTGCATGAGTCAAGGGACAACACCATCTGTGGTAGTGACTTCAGAGTATGTCAATGGTCAGCCTATGGTGATAAGCGGAAGTGGCTGCAGTAGTAATACTACAGTAGTCCAGCACAAGACTACAATAGTTCAGCAGCGTACTACACTTGTTGCTACTCAAAGTGGTGATGAGAGTGGTACACATTCCTCTGTATCAACTCAAACCCCAGGGGGTTTAGGTGAAAGTGATGTTAGCAGTTCAGACTGTGTCAGCACAGCAGCGCCGTCTTCCCCATCTCATCAGAGTGCAGAGATCACCACTACACGTCACGATGAGGATGCAACACCCCCTACAGACCCGCCCCCTCCACTTCCACCACACTCCCTGGACAAGAATAAGCGTATCATCCCAGAGGAGCCTCACAGTGCGTCCACTTCAGGTAATGTTAGTGCCAAAATGTCCTTGCTAACTTGCCTGATGAGTGCCAGTGATGAGCCAGAGCCAGTGTGGGGCCAGTGCCACTTATCGCGGTGCCGCTGTGTTCCAGAGGAGGCGGTGACGTGCGGCCGCGGAGTGGTGTGGGGGCCGCATAGGGGCCACCACTACTGGCCGGCTCAGGTGCTTCACCAGGTAACTACACCACATGAATCAAACTCACATCAAAAGTTTCCTTCACAATCTCGTTCCACATACTGAGTGTGTAATGTTTCAGCACCACATGTCACAGTCAACTTAGTACTACCTTACACACACTACTTTATCTCTTTCTTATGAAAACTGTTCACCTTTTCACTTCCTATCCTTATGGAAATTTTCCCCACAGAAAAATTACATTTTTATGTAAAATGATACCATTAAGCATTATGATATTGTATAGTTCTGAATTTTTCTTTACTGTCTAAGTATTGCATTTGTATTTTTTGTTTGCAAAGACTTATAGACCTTTAGTGTTGAAGAGCACAAGCATGCAGCGTAAAGCAGTATATACTTGTTGCAATCTTTTCTACTCTTCAAATGCAGGAGTATCAAAAGGGATATAGTTCAAAAGTTTAAAACTCAAATTAATATTTTAGCAAGAAATGGTTTTAGTTTCACAAGAGTTTCACAATTTGAGCTCGAGTTTAATATGATTGATGTTTTTAATATCAAAGATTTGAGTGTGGGATATACAATCCAAGTTTTTCTTTTGATTATTTTTGTGTATTCTTCATGAGCAGTACAGTACTTTGTTATCTTTTGAATTATCAGTACTGTACATTTTAGTTTGTCATTTTCAGTGGGGAAGCATATAGTGTATATAGGTTCATCAGTTTGAAGATACAGGCAATACAGTACAGTACTGTACATATCGATATGGACAGGCAATATGACATCTGTGTTCTCTACACATTTTCAGGCTGTTGAATGCATTTCTAAGTAGGACTAAAAATATAATTAAATAGCAAATGAAAGTCATTTATTTTCTGTGGGGAGCTCCTTCAGCTCCCTGGAGCTATCAGGTTAATATGTGATATATTAAACTAGGGCAATAGTCAATGGAGTTCAGCCTAAAGGGGACCACGAGCCAGAATCTGGCCCCCCCTCAGAGAGGCACACTGGGAAAAATGCCCCCCCTGGAAAACTTCCCTGTAGTTGGGGCTTTCCTAATCTGCCATCGACTGGGGGTTAGGCACCCAGAAAGGTAGGCATAACAAAACAGATCCCACATGGTAAAAAAAAATTACAACCGAAAACTGAACAAAAAGGCAGAACTCCCCCAATTCCCAAGGAAACAATTAAACAAGCAAGTGTCACACACTGCCGCCACACCACTCGTCTACTCAGCTCTCTTATGGAGGGGGAGGGGGGAGCCCCAGTTTGTTGGCTATTATGATCTAGAGCGGTCGTTGACTTTGGCCGTGATTTCCAAGCAGTGTTTTGCCTTAGTGGAGTTCTCTGCAGTGTTGAGTCGTGGTGGCCAGGTATAACCAAGTGTACCGGGGCTGCATGTGCTTAAGGTGACCTTACCTGAGCGCCCTGTGAGTACCATCCCTGAGTGCTAGAGTTTTCTTCCCTGGTGCGTTCACGACACCATTACCATAGAGGTTTTTGTTGCTTGGCATTTAACCCGCCCTTGGGGCCAGCTGGGGTTTCGTGGTCCTTGTTTGGCCTTGGGTAGGGAGTGGTATTGTTGCTGATTGGGGCGTCAAGATGTTGTGCAGCCAGCTTACCTATGCAGCGGCCGGTTCCTGTTTCCTCTGGGGAAGTAGTACTTTTGCGGTTTTTTTATCAGCCTACGGGACCTGGAAAACCCTGTCGGGGCTCGGTGGACATATGGATGCATCTTCCGAGTTCCAGCTCGCCTTATGTGAGTTTGAAGGTTGCTGTGTGCCCTTGTCTCAGGGTAACAGTCACCGCTTGTGCCTCTGGCTGTTGGATCGCCGACATCTTTGACCCGGATTTTTGCGAGTCCTGCTCCTTGCTTGTTCTTCAATTTACCCATTCTGCTTGCATTGATAATAGGATACAGGCAGCTCGAGAACTGAAAAATTTGAAAACGGGCATTTGAAAACTGAATTTCCACTATACAGAGTGAGTGAGTGTATGTGTGTAATTACCTAAGTGTAGTTACAGGATGAGAGCTACGCTCGTGGTGTCCCGTCTTCCCAGCACTCTTTGTCATATAACGCTTTGAAATTACTGACGGTCTTGGCCTCCACCACCTTCTCACCTAACTTGTTCCAACCATCTACCACTCTGTTTGCAAAAGTGAACTTTCTTATATTTCTTCAGCAGCTTTGTTTCCTTAGTTTAAATTTATGACCTCTTGTTCGTGAAGTTCCGGGTCTCAGGAATTCTTCCCTATCAATTTTATTGAGTCCTGTTACTATTTTGTACGTAGTGATCATATTGCCTCTTTCTTTTGTCTTCTAATTTTGGCATATTTAATGCCACTCATCTCTCCTCGTAGTTCTTGGCCTTCAGTTCTGGGAGCCACTTAGTAGCTTGTCTTTGCACCTTTTCCAGTTTGTTGATGTGCTTCTTAAGATATGGGCACCGCTGCATATTCTAGCTTTGGCCTAACAAAAATCGTGAACAATTTCTTTGGTATTTTGCCATCCATGTATTTAAAAGGAATTCTGAAGTTAGAAAGTGTAGCATAGGCTCCTCGTACAATATTCTTTATGTGGTCCTCAGGTAATAGTTTTCTATCTAGAACACCCCTAGATCCCGTTCTTTTCAGAATTCTTTAAAGATTTCTCACATATTTTATAGGTTGTGTGGGGTCTATGTTCTTCTATTCCATATTCCATAACATGGTATTTATCCATATTAAATTCCATTTGCCAAGTGGTGCTCCATATACTTATTTTTTCAAGGTCTTCTTGAAGGGCATGACAATCATGTAAGTTTCTTATCCTTCCTATTATCTTAGCATCATCAGCAAACATGTTCATATAATTCTGTATTCCATCTGGTAGATCATTTATGTAGACAATGAACATCACTGGTGCAAGAACTGAACCCTGTGGTACTCCACTTGTGATATTTCTCCAGTCCGATACATTGCCTCTGATTACTGCCCTCATTTTTCTATCAGAAACTTTTTCATCCATGTTAGAAGCTTACCTGTCACCCCTCCAATATTTTCCAGTTTCCAGAACAACCTCTTATGTGGAACTCTGTCAATAGCCTTTTCTGGGGGGAGCCCCTACGGCTCCCTGGAGCTTATCGGGCTAATGTGTGTTATGTTAGACCGGGACATTAGCTATGGAGTTCAGACCTACCAGGGACCAGCGCCAGAACCTGGCCCCTTCAGAGAGGTTTCAGGGAGCAATGGCCCTGGAAAACCCCATATGGTTGGGGGTTTTCCTTATCTGCCATCGACCGGGGTTAGGCACCCAGAAAGGTAGGCGTAACAAAACAAACCCCACATGGTAAAAAACTACAACAAAAACCGAACAGAGAGGTAGAAAACTCCCTACAATCCCAAGGAAAACAATCAATCAATTTACTGCCGCGCCGGTCGTCCGCGCAGCCCTCCCCTCCCCGGGAGGGGGAGGGGGGGGGCCCCGGACCTCACCGCGCCGGCTGCCGGCAGTTCGCAAGCTAGTGTCAACCGGGATAGACGCTTCTCTGGCCTCAAATTCCTTGGCGGTGTTTGCCTCGTGTGGCGTTCTCTGCTGTTGTTGTGGTGTGCGGTGGCCAGGAGTACCTCATCAGTGCCGGGGCTGCATGCGTCTAGGGCTTCCTTCCCTAGGCGCCCTGTGAGTACTGCCCTTGCGTGTCAGGGTTATCTTCTCTGGGGCGTTCGGGAACCGCTCCCGTAGAGGTTTTTGCTGCTCGGCATTTGCCTCGCCCTTGGGGCCAGCTGGGGCTTGGGGCCCTTGTTTGGCCTTGGGTAGGGAGTGGTTTTGTGCTGGTTAGGGCGTCAAGGTGTTGCGCGGCCTGCCACCTAAGCGGCGACCGGTTCCTGTTGCTCTGGGGACGGTGTACTTTTGCGGGGTTTTTCTTTTGTTTTGTTTTTGGTTGCCTGGTGGAGGTGCTGCCTCGTGGGCCCATAGTTCCCCTGGTATTGTTTTGGTGGTCCTCTGCTAGGCCCCCGTGCTTGTACACGTCCCAGGGGCTTTCAGTATTATCATTTACCCGTGTTTTGTTTGGGTTTCTTAACCGGTTAGCAACACCTTGCCCGGGCTTCCCGTAGTTGCTACCCTACGGGCCCTGGAAACCCCTGTCGGGGCTCGGGGACCCATGGAGGCGTCTCCCGAGTTCCAGCCTGCCTTGTGCGGGTTTGAAGGTTGCAGTGTGCCCTTGTCTCAGGGTGACAGTCACCTGTTTTGCCTCCGTCATGCTGCCTGTTGGGTCAATGACACCTTTGACCCGGAGTCTTGCGAGTCCTGTTCTCTGCTTGTGCTCAGGTTTTACTCTGAGGATGTTCCTATTAGAGTACAGGCAGCATCAGCGTTGCATGTTAGATTTAGGTTATTGCAACGCGCTAGGTTGGTTTCCCACCTGGATGCCCCGAGGCTGCCCCGTTTTGGCTTTAGGGACCCTGACCTGGGGGCGTTGATTGCTATGGCTTTGACTCCTACGCCCTCTGGTCCTTCCCCTGTGGTTCTTCCTGCACCACCCCCCCTGTGTCCGGCTCCGAAACGTATGCGGCTTTCGGCTTTGGCACAGGATTTAGTTGGTGGAGAGACTCGGGCTGCTTCGGGGGCTGCCCCATCCGGGTCGGGGACGGAGGCATTTGAGCCGGTTCCTCCTGCCGAGGCTTCTGGGTCCCACCAGCAGGCCCCCTTGTCTGCCTTTCCCTTGGACTCTACCTTTTCTTCAGGGGTAGAGGGTTTGGAGGACGGCTCTGCCCCGGGTCCCGACGTAAGGGATCCTGGGGCTGGGGAGGAGTCGGCCTGGGGGCCTTGGGCCCCCTGTAATTACCTAAGTGTAATTACCTAAGTGTAG